GTGGTATCCGGTGGTATCCGGGTGGTATCCGGGTGGTATCCGGTGGTATCCGGGTGCGGGTGGTATCCGGGTGGTATCCGGGCGGTATCCGGTGGTATCCGGGTGGTATCCGGTGCTTTGTTTGGCGGTATCGAAAATATCTCCAACCCTTCTTGGTGGCTCCTCGAAGAGGACCGAGTTGTGTGCCTGGAGTAGCGCAAAAAGAGGTGAGCTTCAAATCACAGATCACAGCCTCTTTTTTTTGGCGGCATTCCGCCTCTTGGTTGTTTGTTTGCCGGCATTCCGCCTTGTTGTGTTGTGCCTGGTTGGCGGCATTTTGCCTTGTTGTCTTTTGTTTGTTTGCCGGCATTCCGCCTTGTTCTGGTTTGTTTGTTTGGCGGCCCATATACACATTTTGAAAGAGTCCTGCCTGGCATCAAAAACAAGAAGAATTTTAAAAATCAGGCTATAGCCATTTTCTATACATTTCATATGGTTTTACACATACGCATACCTGATTCGCAATTTTTAATCATTTCTGACGCTCAAACTAGTTACGGAAGTTGCGGAAGTTAATAACTTCCGTAACTTTAGTTATAACTAAGTTATAACTTAACTTCTATAAGTCCCGTATCTTAAGTTATAAGTCTCGTAACTATGGGGGCCCCTAATTGTAGGTGAGAATGTGGATGCGCAGAGGTGAAGATGTGAAGATGTAGATGAGACGTAGTTCTGCAATTTTTTTTTATGAAGAACCCTTCGCAGGCTCTCTCGGGAACAAAGAAACTGAAAAGAAACTAATAACTGCTTGTTTTAGATGTTTACACGCACTTATATAGATATATACCTTGAGGACCAAACCTAGTTGTACTACTTGTAAGTAGGTTTTAACATGGTTAAGTAACTTACAAGTAGGGTTAGGTTTGGTGAACTTATAACCTACTTGTACCTACTTAAGGCCTAGATAAGTTAGTTAATAAGTTAACATAAGTAGGTTTGCTTAATTCTATTTTTTTCGGGTTTAAGTAGGGCAAGTAACTTATGTCTACTTATTTCTACTTATCCTAGTTATGTTTTCCTTGCGAATTTTAATGTTTGCAGTGTCTTGCCAGAAGTTTTGCATCAATTTGCAAGGTTTTTGAAAAATGCCGTACGTGTTGTTATTTACATATTTTTTTGTTTTTTTGATTTCTTTTGCAATGTGAACGATTTTATTTAGATGTTCGTATTTTTTTTGTGTCGGCTGCTTTGTTTATGTCGAATTTGAAGATCCATGTGGTGAGTTTGATAGGTATAGAATATGTTTTCTTTTCTCACGTTACGTGTGTTTATACATGCTGTAAGTAAATGAGCGGTGTGACCGCTGCACGCGGCCGCTGCACACGTTGGTGTGTCAGCGGTAAGTATAGCTCCAGCATCTTAAGTCATGGGTTGCTTAGCGGTGTGACCGCTCTTCTAGCTCAAGAGTACCTATGCTATCGATTGAATATCTATTTGCTATCAATGTGCTACCTACGCCATGCTATCGATGTGCTTTCTATGCTATCTATGGAATATCTATGCTATCTATGGAATACCTACGCTATCGGCAAAATATTTTATAAATTCCATACTCACAAATCTTTGTGCTATCTATGGAATATCTATGCTATCTATGGTATATCTACGCTATCGATAGAATATCTATAGAATATCTATTGAACCTCTTTAGAATATCTTTCAAATTTTCGCAGTATATTTTCCATGTCTGAAGAATTTTTTCGTAGCGCAAGCAGTATACCGCTCACATCTTTGGGACGCATGAAAAAGGGCAGCTACGCCAAGGCACGGAAACTTGTTTAGCGGTGTCTTCCGCTTCAGGACATGTCTTTACTCGAAGTAGATACTTTTCTTGTCTATATTTACATGGTCATGCGTTCAGCGGTGTGCCCGCTACATCACATCCACACATACATGTATATCTTTACACGCGTGTTAACAAGTAAACACGCGCACGCAGCAAACACACCACACTCACGTTGGTTGCTCTTCAGCGGTGTGCCCGCTCGATATGAGCAAATACTGTTAATACGTAAAAAATAGGGTTTCCACTCTAAAAAACAATGTTTCTTAAAATAATTGCAAATCAATCGAAAGTGAACAGTCTTGAGCAACTTAGTACCATCACCCCTTCCAAACAGGCTCTTTGTCAAAAATAACTTTTAAAAACAAAAAACAAGGTTTACAGCACGACCTACTTCTTTCTACTTATTTCTACTTATAAGTTACTTATATCTACTTTTGTTATACAAGCATTTTTAATTGACGAACAAGTTAACATAAGTAGACCGTAACTAGGTTAAATTACAACTAGGTTTGGTCCTCAAGGTAGCTCAACTGAATGAGCATAAAGTTCAGCAGGCTATTCGCCGCTGCATTAGCGCTTTACGTTACTGCAATAGACCTTGACTCGCAGGAACCGCAAGGTGAATCGTCAGCTCAACTGGAAAGTTTAACATGACCTGGCGGACCTGTGTACCAGCCTGCACACGGGAGGACCATTGGAGTCATTGTGTGCATTCAATCAGTTACCGAATCCCGAGTGCATTAGCCCTTTACCACCTTAGCCCTTTAGTGCAAAGCGCCGGATTGGAACAGCTTGACCCTTACTTAGAGCACAGAACAGAACTTATTATAGCGCTTTACCACGTTAGCTCTTTAATGCAAACCGATGAAAAGGACGAAGTCTTGTTGTAGTTACAAGCAGGGACCAAGTCCAAGGAGAAATTAGTTCAAGCGCGGGTACGTTTTCAGCACCGCGCCACCAGGCTCTTCGTTGGCCACTCCTTGGTGGTGGGTGGAGTGGCCCCCCGAGGCTAGCTCAACTGTACATTCATAAAATTGGGACAAACTCGAAAGAAGGAAGGATTCCGCGAGCTCAAACAGGGTTTGACACACACAGACAGCCGTTATTCCGGCGCACTTGACTAAAAGGCCTGACGGCTACATGCAGCGGCACCGCTGCCCTTTTTTGGTTGAACTCGATTATCGGCATTGTTCTTTGTTGCCCCATCGAACCGAAGTAACAGCGGCCAGACTCACATGTCCCCGGTTCGAAGGAAGGGCGGTCGGCGGTCGGTTGCCTGGCTCGTAAAATGAGCCGTCGTCGGGAGATACAGGAAGAGTCATTCACGCCTTGGTGGTGAATCACAATGGGGCTGAGCGAGCTAGAAGGATTGTGGGCCGTGAGTTGACTGATCCGGACTGTTGCTAAAGATAATGAAGGGATTGGTGTTTGGACGTTTTCTTGGATTTTCTTGGCGCTTACCTGGCAGGAGATGCCATCCCAGAAACGTAGGCTTGTGGCATCTTGTGGCAGGCCAAAGGCTTGGTAAAGCACTGCGCTCCTGCTGGTGCAGTATGAGGGAAGCAGCAGCAGAAATGAATGAAGGAAGGACGGAAGGAGGGAGGGAAGGTGCCAGATAAAGCGCTTGGCAAGTCGAGTTTGTGCATAGTATGTTGCCTGCTTGCTGAGCATGTTGCTGGTCTTGCCTCTCTGCTGCCACTGGTGCCGGTGGATGCGAAGTTGCAGCTGCTGCCGATGTCGCCAGTGTGCTTTCTGGCTGCGCTTCTGATTCTGTTTCGTTTGGCTGTTGCCTGCTTGCTGGGCATGTTGCTGGTCCTGCTCTGCTGCCACTGGTGCCGGCGGATGCGAAGTTGCTGCTGCTGCTGATGTTGCCGGTGTGATTTTTAGTACGCTTTCAGCTGCAAATTAAATTCATCGGCGCGCTGGTGAAAGTTACAGTTGCTGCTGATGTTGCCACCCCCGCTGCTAGTTCAATTCAACTGTACATTCATAAATTTGGAGCAAAGTCGAAAGGAAGGGTTCTGCGAGCTCAAGCAGGGTTTGTGACACACGCAGACAGCCGTTATTCCGGCGCGCTTGACTAAAAGGCTTGACGGCTGAATTCAGCGGCGCGCGGCTGCTCTTTTGTTTCACACTTCAGCAGCCAAAGAATTGGCAAGTTGTGGAACGAGGCATTCTTGGTCCACCTGGATCACCAAACATCAGACTGCTGAATCGCGTCATCGCCTGGTCGAATGAAAACATTTGGTGGGAACTAGATCCGCGACGTGCAGAGTTGCAAGTGGAATGACTGGCGTGATATGTTTGATATCGACCAAGCGCAGCTGTTCCCAAATCAAAGCGCCTGCAACCCATTCAACATGTGGTCAGACGCCGACCATGCAGGTTGCATAAGGTCACGAAAGAGTGTGGCAGGAGGCGTGCTCATGGCCAACAAGTGTTGTCTCACGACGTTCAGCAAAGGCCAATGAGCACGGCGACTCTGAGTACTTAGGTCTTGTGTCAGGAGCGTGTCAAATTATTTCCTTGACTGCGAAGGATTGGGATGCACGCCCATTCCAAGAAGGAGGTGGACGCTTGCGCTGGGAAGTCATCGAGGCCTCAAACGCGACACCCAGTACCATTCGTTCGGTACAGGAGAAAGAGAGCGCCGACCGCTTGCTTGCCTCACGAAACCTGTCGCCGAAGAAAAGATGAACGCTGCCATGAGAGAGAGGCATGAATTTCAACTTCTTGGAAGGTGAGCGTGAGCTCACACTGAGAGCTTGAGACAGCTTGAGCCAGGGTATGTGCTTCTTGTTCTCGAAGATGTACTGAAATGCTACGAGCTAACTCACTCTTTGTGCTAGTCCTGACTCGCTTAGTTTCTGAGAGATGTTAAACTCGGGAGGCGTGATCAGATGTAGCACCAGTTACATGTATCATTGTAGATAGTATTGTGGATGTATGTCCCACCACAGCCGCTCGTTTCTAGCCGAACTTAGTTTTGCTTGAGCCAGGGATTGAAAGAAAAGTGCACCTCAGCTTTAAAAATCTTTAAACCTATCCGTTTGTTGCTGTGACACAGGGTCATTGCGTTTGTGGGCCCAAAATCTCCCTTCTCAACTAGTGCCCAAATACCCAGCTGAAAAGTTCTTGTGTCAGTTGTCATCGTTGTGCTGATTGATCATACAAGGAAATCTGGGCCCTTGCTATTATTCAACTGGCACTGGAATCGACCACGCCTTCCACATTCAACCCGGCTTTCTTGCGGCTGACACGAATTTTCAAGAACCTTGGCCTAATTTTTCCATTGATAACATCAGATTTCGATGCTCCTTTGAGCATCGCGCTGCGAGGTTCTTCCGCATGGTTCGGCTGGTTCGACTTCTTCGGTACATGCCTGAAGTCATCATCCTAGTGAAAGGCTTAGGAGTTGCTTCTCGCTGCTTGGCTAAACTCAGGTTTTCGGTTGATCTTTGCATCAGTTGACGGGTTCGAACGCTTTCAATGCTAGTTAGTTGCTGCGTCATCCAGCTTGTGTGGGAATGGACTGGTACAATTGTCATCAATTATCTAAAATAGGTGGCTGGTTGTCGGAGTCGTCATTGCAACTGACATCCACTGAGGTTCGGTCTTCTTCACACTGTGCATGCTCGGGCTCCTGATCTATGTCACTAGCTGCAGTTGGATGGATTGGTCAAACACAGGCAGATATAGCTATAATATTGTTACTGGAATCTTGGCATTGCGTCTGTCTATGTTGAGATGGTAATTACGCATGGACCCTAATTTGTAACTGAATACTGAACAATTACACTCCAGACTCTAAATATCACTCTAGACGGGAAGTTTGACCATAAATCACATGAGCAACATCGAGCAATCGAACAACTCTAATTCAGGTGTACGGCATAGCCTTCAAGCATCTTTGCAAGGACTCCTTTGCAGTGCTTTGTGCGCCTTGAAAATCATAGATCTTTACCCAATAGTAGCTTAACGCCAGACTTTGCCACATGCTGCCTAAAGTCCCTGTGCTTCGTGTCTGAATAAAGCGTAGTGGCCGAGAAGCAAGCTACACAGAGGTATGGCCTCCAACCTACTAGCGCTGGCCTCCAACCTAGAAGAGATGGCCTCCGACCTAATAGCGATGGCCTCCAACCTACTAGCGAAGAACATCTGATCTGAAGCAAACCCACATTACATGCCTGATGCGTGCAGTCGCAGGACACAAACGTGGGCTCAGCTGCTTGGACAAGTGGGGGAAGGACCTGGAAGGGTGTCCTCGGACGATGTTTGCGACAAACATTGTCTGATTGAGGCCACTCTTACGGACCAAACAAAAGAGCATAACGGTTGACATCAAAGTTGACATCATAAGCTGAAGGATCTTAGCAAAACGCAATCGAGATATTAAAATACTGTAAAAAAAACTCAAATCACACTGTTGATTCTGTGAATTGTTTGCGATTTTGCTACCATTTGCTTTGAGGTCTATTTTCAGACTTTGTCACAATCTATGTTTACCCTCTTCTACAGTGGATGCTTTTTTGATGGCATTTCTATGCTTGCCGAGATGATGTTTGCAGATGCTTGGCACAGGTTGTGATGTGTTTGCTTCAGTTTTTAATAGAGCTTGGTATTTCACTGCTTGGTCATGTGGATGTATGATGTATATAATGTGTTTCATGTTTCATCATGTCCCTCTCCTTCTTTGCAATTGTGAGCAAAGATAGACCATAAACTTGACATGGACGGCAAGTTATTTGCGACAGGACCTTGGATGCATGAACCCTTTCTTATGACAAACCGCTGAGCCTGATGTGAATGCCGAATGCCAGTAAATATGCAAAGGGGCCAGTGGACTAGAAGCTGGAACGTGGAGAGGATAGGGGAGAAAGAAGAACGTGCCAGGGTAAGGAGTGGTCCAATCGGGAGTGTCGGATTTGCTGGCATTGGACAGTCTGTGCTCAATGATGCGACACAGCCGAAAGATCCCCCTTCATCAGAAGCTGCGTTCTATTTTTGAATGATGCCAGTGATACAGCATGCAAGGAAAGCTTTATCTTTGGCATTTTGCTGATGAGCTTCCTTTTGTTGTTGGGTACTCAGATTGCTGCGACTCTGTCTGTTTGTACCAATTCTAGCCTTCGCGCAGACACATTAGGGAAGACTAGCAAAGGATCAATTTGGATCAACTGTATGAGTCTCGATCATGAATCCAATGAACCATTTCACGTGTAACCGCTTTGTTGCCCGAAATTTGGTAGTGCATTGCATGTATTCCTTCAATAGGTTCGGAGAGCTGCAGGTACGCACCCCTTTGAGTCTATTCAGGGTGGTTGGTTGGGCAATCCAAGACAATACTTGGACACTGAGGGCTCCTTTGACCGTTATGAACATGCTCGTTGGAGTCCTGGTCCAGGTGGGGATGTACTCAATCACCTGATCTGCTGATCAACCATGGAGTCTATGTCATGTCAGGGCACAAAGCATCAGAAAGCAACCGTTAAAACGACTTTTCCAAACAGCTTGTAAACAGATCTTTCTTTCCACCATCCGTTCCCAGGTCTTACAGGTGCTCTCGCAGGTGGAGAATGATGCGATCACAACTGCCTTCCTCCACGAGCAGTGTCTTGGCTCAGCTGCAAGCATCGACCTACTTCTTGTTGTTGAAGCAATGTTCTCGCGACTTGGGTTTCTGTCGAGAATTGCCAAGTTTGCAACAGTTCAAGAGTGCAATTTGTATATCTTGTCAGATTGTCAGCACGGAAGACGGAAGGCGCTGTTTATTGGTGATACTGTACATTGCTTGTTTCGCTGGAGCGAAAAGGGTTGTTTGATGCCAAACCTTGCTGTGGCATTGGTAGGGAATGTTAGGGCCAATAAAGTTTCGGGAGATATTATGTGACTATTTATATATATATATGATTTTATATGTAAATAGAATATATATATATAGTGATATAACATATTACATATTGATACATATGATTCTATATAAGATCAGGTTCGTGGTTCCCATTGCAACTTAGGCCAAGCACTGAGAACTGTCAGTTGAGTGCATATCTTTTGTCAACTCCTCTATGAGCACCTCAGGACCCGAAAGATTTTCGCGGCCATGGACCTCAACAATGATGGAAATGCTCCTGATCAACAATTTCTCGAAATAAGTTCATACTAGTACTGTATATATTGCTTTCAGATTTGCAGGCAAGTGAGAGAGGTTTGCAGGGTGAGGTAACTGTCCGCCATTCACACAAGTGCAGTAGGGATTGTGCATATATATATATTATATATTATATAGTATGACAGAACATCAACATATGATTTGTGATGCAAGTCTGTTTTTCATCATTGGATCACCTTTGGCGAAGAGTCAATACGGATCCAAAACGTCAAACAGAATTGAATGATTTGCTGCAAGCTCAGGTAGACGTGGAGGAATTTGCCAAACTGGTGAAGCAACCGAACATGGTGATCCTTGGGCTCGATGGACAGGACAGAATGTGCAAATGTTGGTTCCCATGGAGCAAGGTGAATTTTTGGCACACGTTTGTGTCGCCTTTTGTGCAGGGAAGTTTCAACACTGTGCTGAATACAAGTGGCAAACGCTGAATGAATGCATGAATGAATGCCCGTGCATGCATGCATGTGCATACATGGATAGGTGGGTGGATGGATAGATGGATGGATGCATGCATGGATGCATGGATAATTGAATGTATGAAGTATGAATGGATGAATGCATCATTGCATGAATGTATGAATGCATGAGTGTATGAATGCATGAATGTAGAAGTTGTATGACTGTTTGAATGCATGAGTGTATGAATGTATGAGTGTACAAATGGATGAATGTATGAATGCATGAGTGTATGAATGCATGAGTGTATGAATGCATGAGTGTAGAAGTTGTATGACTTTTTGAATGCATGAGTGTATGAATGTATGAATGCACAAATGGATGAATGTCTGATTGCATGAGTGTATGAATGCATGAAGGTAGAAGTTTTATGACTGTTTGAATGCATGAGTGTATGAATGTATGCATGCACAACTGGATGAATGTCTGAATGCATGAGTGTATGAATGCATGAATGTAGAAGTTATATGACTGTTTGAATGCATGAGTTTATGAATGTATGAATGCACAAATGGATGAATGTCTGAATGCATGAGTGTATGAATGCATTAATGTAGAAGTTGTATGACTGTTTGAATGCACGAGTGTATACATGTATGAATGCACAAATGGATGAATGTTTGAATGCATGAGTGTATGAGTATAAATATATATATATGTGTATATGGGGTAGATTCTTGTACCATACAACTGCACATGGAGACTCGATCCATCAAGCACATCAGCACATGTCACATGTACCTTTGTTTCTCAGCCAAGATAGTGGTCAGAGGCAGTTCTTTTAGGACGCTGGAAGTCATCCAGAAATGTGTTTGAACTTGTAAACCTGGAAACGCAGTCAAGTAACCAATGAAGATGGCTAAAGCTGGAGTTTTATGTAAGGAAAGCACTACATGAAGCCGACATTGATGTTCCTGCTCTCATCAACGAAGTGGACCTGCCCTTAGCTCTCAAAGATTGATGCAACAACATCCGAACATTGAATTGATCACACAGTCAAAGCACAAACAACACTCAAGATCTCCAAAAAGGTGCGATCTCAAGGAACTCAAGATGACATGAAGGTGTTTTTCATGACATGGCTGCTTAAACCGTTTGAGAATTTCTGGACAACTGATTGCAGCGTTTAAGCACCATGAACACTTCTTGATTCCTTTCGGTTGGTACAATTGAAAGGAGGTCGAGGCACCTGCTAGGAATTTGTGGCCATCATTCAAGCAAATTTTGGTGCAAGGATCTGTTGAATGTATGTTCAGAAATGATTTACCAGCCCAGGATTTGATCTTTGGTGGCCAGGAGTATCTCGAACGAAGAATTGAAAGTCTTGACAGTGACCACAATAGTGCTTTTGTCTTGAGGAGCTTTAAGTAATTCCTCTGGAAGCTGCTGTAGACTAGACCCAGAGCGGCCCAGAGCGACAACAGTGGGCAGACTCGGGAACACCTTCAAGTCCAATGGGGGGAAGTGGGGAAGTGTGCCGTTTGCGTGTCTCAGGCGGTTGGGCTTGGATGAGTTTGTGACGCAGATTCAAGCTTTCCGACGCACAAATCAGGTCACCATCAAGGAGTGCGTAACTTACGAGTGCATATATAAATCCATGTTGAGGAAGAGAGGTCAAGCCTTTTCCGAAGGATGTTCCTGTTCGCCAGCTCTTTTCTAGTATGTCATACTAACTGCTCTACCTTGCATTGGAATCGTACCATAGATTGTCATGCCTACCTATGCGGCTTGCTGTCAGGACTTGCTCCAGTTCAGGCTAATGGTGCGAAAAGACACAGAAGAGGTGTCACTTGACTTGAATCTTGCTGCGAACCATAGTGATTTGCTTCTACTGCAACAGGTAAGGCCGGAGAAATCTGTCTTGTTCTGACCTGCATATCTGCAACTCGCCGAGGCTAAGAGCTCAAAATAAAACGCTGCAGAAATCTGTGAGGAGAGCCAATAAATTTAACCGGTTGAAATGATGCTCACAGGGTGGACAATTGTTCTTTAGAGAACAGGTTTCCCGATGTTCTACTCCAAAAGATCAAGATGCATCATACACAGAGTTGCAATGATATGCTGCTTGTGGGTCAATTTTTGGTGGAGAGATCCACCAGTTGTGAGCGATAGTTCTTTCTTCTGGGGCATGTACTCTACGGCCTGTCGACATGGAGGCCGGAAGAAGAGACGCGCTTGTGTGAGGACACATAGGTGTCTTGCATGCCCCGCCAAACTAAGGCGTTGCTAGTTCTTAGGTGCGTCCAATGGGCCACTTGAAAGAATCAAGCAGAGAAGGGCATGGCGACCTTCCCAAGTGGAAATACTCTTGGCATACCAGCATGCATGAACATCGGCGAATCGTCTCAGGAAAGCATTGACAACTTAATATGTGCTGGTCCACCACCTGCTTGCTTGCCAGAATTGTTTCATGGCGCGATGCAGTGATGCAGGGACCTAAAGTGTCCAATGTCAATGTCGGGATTAGCGAACAAGGAAGATCGTAGTCGGGCCGATTTAAGCCAGTAAGAACTTGTCATGTAGGTGAATGGATGTGAAGGGAAAGAGCAGAAATGTTTTCCACTACATGTCAGCAGTGGCACAATGGCTTTCGATCTTCAATCAGGTCTTTCTCCGTAGGGATATATTTGGTGAAACATCATCCTCCCTTCGCCATGCAGAGTTTGTGGCCTCAGCTTCCTCAAGGGCAGCTAAAGCGCTTTCGTCTCACACGTTGAAATATCTCTCTCTCTCTCTCTCTAAAGGGGAGAGAGAGGGAGCTCGAAGAATGAACTGAACCAAAAGGAGCGGACTAGAACAGGCATGATTCAAGCACAAACAATAAAGATCCTGGTTCTGCGTACCAAATTTTGGAAGGGGCGGCCATGTCTTGGATACGGTATGATCCAATTGTGAGAACCTTCTCATGGTAGTCCAGGGAGCTAAGCAAGTGCTTGAACAAGTGGTGGCGTTGCTGATGAATGGTTGCAAGACTGCCGGTGGACCTGGTTCACTGGAAAGCCTTTCATGGAAAAAGGCACATCCAACGAATGTCAAGCAGTTAGGAGAGCGGTCATAGATTGCCTAGCTTTGCTCAACGTTTAAAATGCACCGTGAGAAGTTGAGGCGTGTGTGTGACTTAGCCCGCTCAGCAAGGACCAGCAAGGATTCTGGAATACTCTGGACCATTTCTGATGGGATTGGATTTAGATGAGTGATTGATTTCTTAAGGTTCCAGGTACGTTGTAGGCTCCTACGACCAAGAAACCTGACACAACCAGCCCGAGAATGCCCGAGACAACCCCCACCAAACCGCACTACCTGACCTGACGTGTTGGCAGGGAGTTGAGGAGTTGAGGAACGATAAAGAATGGTAATGTAATGAAGTTGGTAATGGTGTAATGGTAAAGAGAGGTGAAAGGAAGTTGAACCTCCAAGTCCACCAAGTCCATGAGCAAGTAGTCCAAATGGTTGAGCAAATGCTGGTTCAATAAGCTCAATCCAGAGGAATTGTGAATCACGCGCTAGAGATCAGCCCTCGTATCCCTGAGACTGCTTAGCTTTGTTCAGCACGGTCGGCAATCTGACTCCGTGCGCCTTTGTTGCTAAAGACTTGGCCTGGTCTGTGGAAACCCAAAGGTGAAACATATTACATAGTAGAACGAATTATGCGTCACGGAAATCGTCTTGCGCTCAAAGATGAAGTAAGACGTTGTACACCACACGGCATGCCTAATCGTGCCTACTTCTGTAGAGTAGATTGTAGCAGACAGACCAAACATGCCGAAGTGACCTTCCATTTGATCCCGTGATTTGAGTGGCCACTTTTGCAGGTGCCAAGGCAGCCTTTCATCTTGGCTGAAGAGGGTGACTTGACTGCTCGACGTGAGCGATCCTGGGACCGTGCCGCCTTCATTGAAGCTTGGGAATTGAATGGACTCTTTGTTTGCGTGGCGTTGAGTACATTGAAGCAGATCACTCTTGCCGAGTTGAGGCAGAACAATAGCAGTTGTCAATAGTCGTCAGTAAATGACCACTGGTTAACTTAGGACATTCATATGATGTTTCGTCGATCACTACATATATATATATATATATGCGCCAGACACCAGCATTTCTTTTTGCATACTATGTTGAAGACTTGGCCACATACTTTTGCAAAGTGCTGCAGGACGGCGTCTTTGGCTTTGGGAGGAGTCTTCCAATTTCTGGAGGACCTTCTCTCCATAAAAACTTGGAATCCATTGGCCGCACAGCCACGTGACCTTGCAGTTTCTTTGGGGACCAAAACAGGACTGTGTGACAAACATCCACATCTCCGTTTTATCTGACTGCAGAATGTCAAATTGCTGCCGTTGTAGATGGGCAACAATGAACGTGTTGCTAGAGAAACAGAGGATGTTGGCACCATTTTAGGTATGTTCTTGCTCCTCAAACTGGGCGCTTCTTGGAAGAAAAGGCCTGTGACTGCACACATACTGTACGCAACCAAAAACAGATTAAGGTATGTGTTTTGGTAGAACTGAGTGATGTGGCAAAGTCGAGCATCACAGACGTTGGGACGATGGGATGCAATCAAGTGCCAGGCTGCCCGTCTTTGTTTGGGAGCAGAACCCGAGCGCTTAACCTCCTTTGGGCCCGGGCCCCGGCAAGCTGTGACAGCTCGATGGCCTAATTCAGTTTCCATTCCCGGATGAGTTGTTGCTTAAACATTAATTTCAAACTAGCAAGAGGCAACAAACGGCGGTTGCATTTGTCACCAATTGATCTAAGTTCTAATAAGCATGACTTGGTGGAATGTTTTCTTTTTTTTGTGTGTGTGCAAAAAGCAAGTGTCTCCTCAGACCGCCAAGAACATATTAATGGCAGTTTGATTATGATTATCTTCCGAAGTTGTTTGGCACTGTGCAGTTTGCGCTTGAGTTCCTCCTCGTTGTTTTCAGCACTGAGGCCATTCACGTGGACAGATGCCTTGGACATTCGCCAGGGCCCCAGGCTGTCTGATACAGGACGCAACCACCTCCAAGTGTATGTGTAAGAAACTGACCATGGATCACCCCAACATGCAGACTCCAATATACAGTCTTCAAAATCTTGCAAGTGCTCTTTCTGATGTTGTTCCTGTACTCCGTCACTGGCGGGTCTAGCTGCCATTCAGCCTTGAACAGGTACAGGTCCTTGCAAGGGTGCTTGGGCGTTTAAGGTGGGGCTCCTTTCTTTTGGTACTTGTGCATTCAAGACATGATGTCGCATTCTCCTAGGGTCATTTCAATTTCTATACAAAGGAAGACTTGCAAGAATCAGGACACCCACCTTATAACCCATGGCTGCCTGTTGAAGCGGAAATTGTGCTGTAAAATTTTGTGGTGGGGAATCCATTTAATCTACCTGCGGATTTAGGGGCTTTGTTGCGCTCACAAGCATGAACACGCAACATGTTATTCACTATGACATTCAAATCAAAAGTAATTCTCAACAACCACTGACGGCTGAAAGCAGGGGATGAAACCTTGTTTCTGCCACAATGCCAGTCGACTACAGACCGCTCCAGGCCATCGGCAAAGTCAACGATCTTGAACCGCAGCCGATAAAAGCAGTGATTGAGAAGCTTATCTTGCACAAAGGTCCGAAGTTAAGCTATGTAACTGTCTTCAGTGTCTTGTACGTCTTGTATCGGCAATCTCAGGACCGGAACCTCCTACTTGCTGGTGCCGGCAAAAGAGTGAGCATCCGGAAGGGTTAGATATGTTAGAGCCGCAATGATGATGATTGGACAAAACCTGTGCTTTAGGTCAGTCCCCGCTGGTTTGTTTAGGATGTACTCGTAATTAAAGGAAAAGGGAAGGGGGTTGACCATGACCATCCCCAATAGTTTCTGACTGGTATAACATGGTATAACGAGAGATTCTGTCCATTATATATAGACACACTCATAATGTGACCATTTCTGTTAACTTATGTAAGCAATTTTGTCGACACGGCTTGATACACGCTGAACCAAAGTTGCAGAATTTGGGTCCTGTACTGTACAAGCCGCCGGGTGGCCAGTTACCTCAGAATTGCACGATCATTGGTGCCGAAGTTTGATGACTTCTGTGGATATGCTACGCCCTCAGATACCTTTGGCACTTGCTCATCTTACACACACACACACACTTGAGAAAGAGCTCGCAAGAGCATACTTCAAGGTGGTTCCAAAGACACATTGACTCTAGAAGTAATTACTGCATTAAGTACCGGATTAGTGCAGGCCGACCATACCTTACCTGAAACAAACCTTGAAACGGGCCATGAACAACAAGTACTGGGTGAAGGCCCTAAGTTGTCTCAGGTAGCACTTTGCTGTCTCATGTCGGTGTGCCTAGCGGAAAACACTTATATAAGTTGGTTTATGCAATGGCTTGTTACTTGATATGAACCTGAAAGCAAAACGCATGGGCACATATGATCTACTTTCATGAAGCTAGGGCAGTTTGCTCAAGCTTGCTGTGTCGTGTGGCTTGACGTGTGTCCACACCTCCAATTGCCATGAACACCACGCCAAGCAAGAGACAGCAATTGGAAGTGGCCCGAAAAGGGAGAGGCATTCTGCTCTCACGATTCAATTGTCATGGGCATTCTCAGATTGCTTTTTCTTCCAAGTCACTGTTTTCAAGAAGCACCTGCAACCAGAGTCTGAATAGTTCCCTACACTATGCATGGTGTATTTATTTGACAAACCAATTCAGACTGAACAGGGAATGCATCATGCGGTTCCCAGGTGCAATATGTCATGAATGGTGCCTTGATGTTGTGCTTTCCTGGCCATGGTTGTCAAGAAGCACCTGCAACCGGAGTCTGGATAGTTCCCAAGAACACTATGTATGGTGTATGTATTTCCCAAACCTCTCCAGACTCAAAAAAGGAATGCATCATGCGGTCCCCACACGCAATAAGACCCAATCATTCTCACACTATCCCATATGCTATGCCCAACAGCGTGCTGGAACAGCCCCCTATACTTGTTGGCTGCTGCTTGCCCTGCCTTGCAGGATGCATGTCGCAAGGACAATGTTTCTTTGTTTTCGTTGAAGACCTTTGCGACAGAGATTCGTGAAGAGCACGCTGCTGCTTTCAAGGCTAAGGAGTGCATGGAAGGAAGAGAAGCATTGCAGGGCTCGCAGTTCACAGTGATTTCGGATTGTGCCCACTGCGGCGCTAAACGTCATGGTGTGGCATGGTCATACCGTAGTGGTAGACCGAAGCAAAAGCTTTATGCGTTCTCAGAGCTTGGTCACTGCGGCTGGTGTTTTAGCCCCTGTTTTGAGGGTTGGGTGAGCAAGCGTAAGCGTGATGAGATGTCCCTGTGTGAAATCCTGATACGTTCTGAGAGTTTAACATGGGCTGATCCTTCTCAACCTGTGTGAGGGTTGTCAATCAGCTTCGCATATTGCCACTCACTGTACAGGGTAAACGATACTACTACTACTACTACTAGTACAAGTATAGTTCCCGGGCAAGCCGGCGGCGTAAGTTTCCAAAAGAATAAACCTATAGGAAACGGGCATGTGGCAGGCTTATTCGCCGAGCTGCGATGTTCTTTGACAAAACAAGTTGGAACCGACCAATGGAGCGAAAGCGAAGCAACCACCATCAACTGTCTCGCAGGCAAAAACGTTGTTCATGCATTTTTGCAAAATGCAGAATAGAGATGACTCAGCCACGTACTAAAGTTGTACTACAAAGTCGCCAGTTCTCAGCTTCCAGCTCCACGGCTTGCTCCGCGTACTAGAGTTGTATTACAAAGTCGCCAGTTCTCAGCTTCCAGCTCCACAGATACTCCGCGTACTAAAGTTGTACTACAAAGTCGCCAGTTCTCAGCTTCCAGCTCCCCAGATTGCTCCGCGTACTAAAGTTGCACTACAAAGTCGCCAGTTCTCATCTTCCAGCTCCCCAGATACTCCGCGTACTAAAGTTGCACTACAAAGTCGCCAGTTCTCAGCTTCCAGCTCCACAGATTGCTCCGCGTACTAAAGTAGTATATTACAAAGTCGCCAGTTCTCATCTTCCAGCTCCCCAGATACTCCGGGTACTAAAGTTGTACTACAAAGTCGCCAGTTCTCATCTTCCAGCTCGCCAGATACTCCGCGTACTAAAGTTGTACTACAAAGTCGCCAGTTCTCAGCTTCCAGCTCCACAGATTGCTCCGCGTACTAAAGTTGTACTAGAAAGTCGCCAGTTCTGATCTTCCAGCTCCCCAAGTACTCCGCGTACTAAAGTTGTACTACAAAGAGTTCTCAGCTTCCAGCTCCACAGATGCTGTGCCTGCCACGAAATCTGCACATGGAGGTTCACAAAGTGCTGTGCCTGCCACGAAATCTGCACATGGAGGTTCACAAAGTGCTGTGCCTGCCACGAAATCTGCACATGGAGGTTCACAAAGTGCTGTAGCTGCCACGAAATCTGCGCATGGAGTTCACAAATTGCTGTGCCTGCCACGACATCTGCACTTCAAGAAACAAGTGAAAACTCTAATCACAATGGAGGGACGATTCCGCCCATGATCCGACCATGCCCCGACCATGACCCGAGACCGTCTCGCAACCGTCGTTCCGCGGAGCTTCCCCGTCGAGGTTCGGAGAAGCATGGAGGTTCACAAAGTGCTATGCCTGCCACGAAATCTGCACATGGAGGTTCACAAAGTACTGCGCCTGCCACGCAATCTGCACATGGAGGTTCACAAAGTGCTGTGCCTGCCACGAAATCTGCGCTTCAAGAAACAACTCAATCATCTAATCGCAATGGAGGGACGATTCCGAGCATGATCCGACCATGATCCGAGAATGACCCGAGACCGTCTCGCACACATCGTTCCGCAAAGCTTGACTGGCCAGCTTCGGAGCCACCCTTTCTATTGAAAACAACAGCATTTCGTGCGTCCGCTTTCTCTCGAAAACCTATTTTGTATTGCGCCTGCCACGAAATCTGCACATGGAGGTTCACAAAGTGCTGTGCCTGCCACGAAATCTGCACTTCAAGAAACAACTCAAGCCTCTAATCACAATGGAGGGACGATTCCGAGCATGATCCGACCATGATCCGAGAATGACCCGAGACTGTCTCGCACACATCGTTCCGCAAAGCTTGACTGGCCAGCTTCGGAGCCACCCTTTCTATTGAAAACAACAGCATTTCGTGCGTCCGCTATCTCTCGAAAACGTATTTTGTATTGCGCTTGCCACGAAATTTGCACATGGAGGTTCACAAAGTGCTGCGCCTGCTACGAAATCTGCGCATGGAGGTTCACAAAGGGCTGCGCCTGCCACGAAATCTGCGCATGGAGGTTCACAAAGTGCTGTGCCTGCCACGAAATCTGCGCATGGAGGTTCACAAAGTGCTGTGCCTGCCACGAAATCTGCACTTCAAGAAACAACTCAAACCTCTAATCACAATGGAGGGACGATTCCGAGCATGGTCCGACCATGATCCGAGAATGACCCGAGACCGTCTCGCACACATCGTTCCGCAAAGCTTGACTGGCCAGCTTCGGAGCCACCCTTTCCATTCTATTGAAAACAACAGCATTTCGTGCGTCCGCTATGTCTCGAAAACGTATTTTGTCTTGCGCCTGCCACGAAATCTGCGCATGGAGGTTCACAACGTGCTGTGCCTGCCACGAAATCTGCACATGGAGTGCCACATACACTGGAGCTAGAGCTATTGAAACTATAACTAGAGCTAACTGGAGCTAGAGCTCTTGAAACTAGAGCTAACTGGATGATGAGTGGTGTATGATGAGTGGTGTATGATGAGTGGTGTATGATGAGTGGTGTATGATGTGTGGTGTATGATGAGTGGTGTTTGATGAGTGGTGTATGATGAGTGGTGTATGATGAGTGGTGTATGATGTGTGGTGTATGGTAAGTGGTGTATGATGAGTGGTGTAGTGATGAGTGGTGTATGATAAGTGGTGTATGATGAGTGGTGTATGATGAGTGGTGTATGATGAGTGGTGTATGATGAGTGGTGTATGATGTATGGTGTATTGATGAGTGGTGTGTGATGAGTGGTGTGCATGAGTGGTGTGTTGATGAGTGGTGTATGATGAGTGGTGTATGATGAGTGGTGTATGATGAGTGGTGTATTGATGAGTGGTGTATTGATGAGTGGTGTATGCACAGTTCTTGAATGT